AAGATCGTTAAACGATCATCGATTTAATCGACTATTAATCATGTGGTAGGACAATATATATATAGAAAAAATAAGTATATACATATATATATATATAGATACGGTCGTTGAAAGAAATAAAGTAAAATAGAACAAAATTTCTCGGTTTGGAACGTAGTAGTAGTAGTAGTAGTAGACATTAACAATGTTCTCTAATTCCAATTGTATTTCATTAAAAATATAAATCATATCTTGGGCGTTGGTTGCCCTCGAGGCTGTTCTCGTTAATTGGTACGATGCAGCTTCCGTTACGGAAATAACGGCTTCATTGTAGTGCGTCGTAAGAAAGGGGAAACGCCGCTAACAAAGTATGGAGAATGAGAAAGAAGTGGAAAGAGGAGGAGAAGGGGGAGGAAGAGGTGGAGTAAAAGGAGGATGAGAAGGAGGAGGAGGAGGAGGAGGAGGAGGAGGAGGAGGGGAAGATGGAGGAGCAGCTTTGAAAAAGGGAAACGCAAGGAAGCACGAAGGCATACAATTTATTCTTATTGTGTGTCTCTCATTTAGCATCTCGTTTCGCCATTATTTTCAATTTTCCTTATTCGAGTTTTGCATTGTCGTCGTAACGTCTTAATTGAGCGTTGCCGCGAGTGCAAATATCAAAGGTGTTAATAAATACTCGGATATTAATGATGAAGGCTCGTTGACGACGCGTCTAGGATATTTTTGTTTTTTTTTCCTATCGTTTAGAAAAATCTAAAGAAAGAAAATTCAAAATGTTCAGATCGGGCAAGTAACGAGAAAGAGAAAGAAAAAAGAAAAAAAGGGGTCTTACACATACGAGGAACGACGGGAAGCATAGGAAACGTTTTCCAATTTCCACGTTTCATTGGCACGGACGACAGCACGTCGACTTCGAACGAGAGAACTGTTCCGTTCGATCGATTCGTGCTCCTTTCTAGCTCTCGCGTTGTTACTCGCGATACACAACGGTTGATGCTTTCCAAATCTTTTTCTACGGATTCAATAGAATACCTTTATTTATTTTTCAACATAGTAGAGAAAACAAAATAAGTAAGCGTATATTATTTGAAAATATATAACTACGAATGTGAGTGGGGGAATCGGAGGTTTGGGGGGGTTGATTCGTGGAAAGATATATATGTATATTTTACCGCCTTCAAGATCCTCAAAATTAACGTTTACGATCGCGTACTCATCGTATGTCATTCTTATTTCTTATTTCTTTTTCTATTTTCTATTTATTTGCTTGTGTTATTGTTGTTGTTGTTGTTGTTGTCAAAACAACAACAATAATGATAACAAACGAAAAGAGAAAAAAAACAAAAAAGAAGAAGGAAAAGAAAGAAAGAAAGAAAAAAAGAAGGGGGGGAAAAAAAAAGGAAACTTCATCTCGTCGTTGAGTCGCGAATTTCGTGAAAAGGAATGTACCTAGGATTCTTCTCTCTCATCGGCGAATTACTTTCCTCTCGAAACCAGCAGCTTTTTCCCCGCTTTGACAATGAAAACAGAAAGAAAGAGAGAGAGGGAGAGAGAGAGAGAGAAAGAGATAAAGAAAAAGAAAGAAAGAAAGAAAGAAAGAAAGAAAGAGAGAGAGAGAGAGGGGTAAAAGAGAAGTTAGGTACCTATTAGTGGTAGTAGTCGGTCTGTCGGCATGGCCGCGTTATCCTCTGGAAGGTCTCCATTCCCTTCTTTCCCTTTCTCTAGAAGTCTTTCCGCCCCCGTCCATTAATTAACAGGCTTTGTACTTTTAAACGATGTTAAATAAACGCCATTGTCCGTCGGCGAAAGGACTGAAAAGCAAGCGCCATTGTGCTTTAAGCTCGTCGTCGTCGTCATCGTCGTCGTTGTCGTAGTCGTCGTTTTGAAAACGACGAAGAGAAGAAATAAGAGAAAGAGAAAATATAGCCGGTACTAGTACTAACACCGTCAGTGCTATTACTACTTGCACTGCTGCTGTTACTGCTGCTGCTGTTGCTGCTACTGCTGCTGCTGCTGGGAAGCCTTTGTTCTAAACAAATACACCGAGCCACCCCCTCGCTTACCCTCCACCTACCCGTCACTCTTGACTACCCTCTAACTCTACCCACCTTCTTCCTCACTCTACCACCTGCCTTTCTAACGAGAAAACGCGTATCGATTGGATAAAGCATAATACTATAAATAGACTAAGTACACTTGACATTTCGACGATTCTACGAGCTTTCAAAATTCTCTTCAAACGATTTTTCAATCATTCCTTTTTTTTTGTTGGACTAATTTCACGAACAAGAAGAACATGAAGATGATGATGATGATGAAGAAGAAACGCATGACGATTGATCGTAGTGTTAATGTCAACGTTCATTATTCGTCATGAACGATGAAAATCAAGAATTCTGTTTTTATTATCTCTATTTCTCTTTTACTGTCCTTCTATTTTTTCTTGCTCTGTACCATTCTTTCCGATTCATTGTAAGTCACCACGTATTCGTATTGTTTAGTCTCTATGTGCCTCGATATATGTAGAAAGCAAGCAACTCTCTTCCCATTGTCATAGTCTACTGCTTGCAAACTACGACTATGAGGGAAAGAAAAAGATAGATAGAGACAGAGTAAAAAGGTCTCGCGAACAACGTCGATCCATTCTCTCTCTCTCTTTCTCTCTCTCTCTTTTTTGCTCTCGTTTCTTCCACTCTTCCTCGCACGAAGAAATTGCACGCGTGCATCTCTATCTTTCGTATCGAAAACTTGTATCCTCTCCACCTCTCTCTTTCATTTTCTTTTCCTTTCCCTTTTCCTTCTTTTCTCGATACCTCGAAGTTCTCAATTGCCATGTTGTCGTTGTCGTCGTCGTCGTCGTTGTTACTGCTGTTGATATTATATCTTTGAGATATAGAAGATACCGTAGGCTATGGGATATTAGTTACAATCGTACAATTCCGAAATGCTTTTTCTTCGGGCACACTTGTCAAGGGATACTAGAAACTTTTCTCTCAGCTCTCATGATTTCTTTTTTTATATATTTCATCTTAGTTCTTACAAAAGAGAAGACTTCTTTAAAGATGAATAATTAATTTATCATATTGTAGCATTATTTCTGTCCTATTTCTTTCCAAAACAGTGCTTGATTTGTCGTGTTATTAAAAGTCGAATATTAGTTTTTTCGTTGGAAATGAACAATCTATTTTTCTTTTTTTTTTTAGATGATGACAAATTATCAATAATAATGATCGACGTATCGTTAATCAAATAAATGTCTTTGCAATGTTTTTCCAGTGGTCCGTATGAAATGAAAATTTAAGGCAGAAATAATTTTAGGAAACGATATAAAGATTTAATTTCAAATATAATATAACGCGAGTATTACTTACATTCTTTCTTTGAATAGTCTTTTGTCTGTATTAAACGTGTAATCAGATGAATAAATGTATGAATGAATGAATAAATAAATAAATAAATATATATATATAGAGAGAGAGAGTTTTGTTAAATTTTTGTCAAAAGTATGAATGCAACCGACATTGTTCTTGTCAACAAATCTCAACGATCGTATACATAATATCAATACTAACTTCAAAACTGACAGATATACAACTATATATACGTTTATGTATGGGTTAGATAGAAAGCGTTCGCAGGATACACCCAGGGTTTCGTTCTCTCTTTGTTCTCGATGCCGGCGGTGCACCAACAACAAGTGGTAATTAATTCCCAGTGAAACAATTCTCGTTGGTGGCGAGAGAGAAAGCTTCGCGACACGACGCTCGAGGGGTCGTAAAAGCGTTTCGCTACGCGAGCACAGCAAGCTTTGCTTTCGTGTTAGCGATTCTCTTCGCACGTTTCTCTCTCTCTCTCTCTTTTTTTTTATATATTTTGCGAATTATTTCTCTCTATCTCGCAAAATAGACCGTGACTTAAACTTTTCCGCTTAATCAGAATTAATCTCATCGAACACTATATTTTAACTTATGATTTAAATCAAATGACCGTTGTTTATTTTTGTACGAAATTATCCCATTCCTTGCATATTCCTTTATACATATACAAGAATATTATTAAAATTATTAAATTTTTTATAGTTTTTTTATTTTCACCTTATTTTTTGAAGGGTAAACGAGTAGGTAGGTTTGAAACTTTGATTCGCATGTTCAGGAGTCTACCATCGAATGGAAAATAGAGGGAAATATAGAAAATAGGATCTGCGTGGAAGGGCTGGCTGGTGGTTGGGTAAATGGTGAGGGAGAAAAGGTGGGTGGAAGTGGTGAGGGCGGAGGTAAAAATGGTGGGACGAAACGTAGTCGATAATAATCGACGCGCCATTAAACAATGCACAACATCCGCACGTCGATCAATTCAATCATAACGCTCGTGTCCACCAGTCTCGACTAGGACAACGACAGAATCGCGATGCAAGCGACGCTTCAACCACGAACAAATGTAGTACATCCACCAATGGCCTTTGTATTCATTGATCCAAAGCGTTATTCGTGTAACTATAACAGTGGGAGGTTTACAAAGTGCGTGTTGTTGTCATCGTCATCATTCTCTTTCTCTCACCCACCCCCCCTCACTCTCTCTCTCTCTCTCTCTCTCTCTCTCTCTCTCTCTCTCTCTCTCTTTCTCTCTTTCTATTTTTCCTTTACCTTTTCATCACAATTTTCGAACAGTTTTGTACTGTTTTCATTACAACCATAATCCATCCAACGTATTGTTTCTCTTTCTTCCATTTATTAAATAGGACTTTTCAACAAATTTATCATTATCAATTTCACAGATTCTTTTTTTATCGGATATTAATAGAATTATTATTTTACACTTCGCACTAATAAAGCCAGTTTAACTGTTCAGCTACTTGAAGGTATTTCCATATATTCGGTTAATATCAATTAATTGTAAAGATTTGTTTCTCTTGCACTTTTTCGTTATTTAGAAATCTAAGAAAAATCACGTTAGAGTTGACTACGAGCGTGTAGTCAAATTGTTTAAAATTTATTAATATGTTCGTTTTCTTTTGATTTCAGGTGCGGAATGGAAATTACTTACGGAAGACGAAAAACGACCGTTCATCGACCAAGCGAAAAGGTTACGAGCACAACACATGAAAGAATATCCTGATTACAAGTATAGGCCTAGAAGAAAACCGAAAACGTTACGCAAAGAAGGTTATCCCTACAGCATTCCTTACCCAAGCGTGCCGATGGACGCTTTGCGCGCTGGTAAGACGATATGATACGATATATAATACACAAGGTGTCTATTTTATCAACTTTTTCTTCATTCGCACATACAGCACATAACTTTTTTTGTGCTTGCGCGGCATTCTTGCCTTTTCCGAAATAATACAATAAAATATGTCTTGCTCTTCCATTTTTAAATTGAGATAAACACAAAAGTAAAGAATAAAAACGCAGTTGTCAAAAAATAGCACTAGAATTTTTTTAAATATTTTTCCTTTAATCTAGAGCATTAATTACATCACCCTGATTTATTTTAAAAGAAAAGAAAAAATCATGCAAAGAAAGGTTAATGTTACACGTAACGTTAATCACATTAACGAAACAAAAGAAAATATAAAAACCATCGATCGACAAAATCCGCAAACATTTAGTTGCCAACCCAATACTTTCTATCTTTAAAAATCTAAACGAAAATTTGTCAAACTTTTCCACTTAGCGAAACCCTTTACTTCAGCAAAAAATATTTCCCTGATCTTAGGTATTATTTTCTATTTCACTATCATAAATTCATGAACATACTAAACACATAATAATTCATACCTAATTTTGAACGTTAGTTGAAAATCAATCGTCGCGCGTCCAGAAATTTTTCAGTTTACCTTAAATTTTGACGACTCGATACGAAGTCGTTAAGATTTGTGTAAAGGATTTGCGTTTTGTGAATTACCGATGACTTAAAAATTTCGTTAATACGAATAGAAAAATTGTATACTCTGTTCGAATAATTTCTACAAAAAATTTGAATAAACCTATTGAAGAAAATGAATTTATCAATAAAATTCGAAAGTCCAACAACGCAACTCAATCGAGGGGAATAAAAGAATAGTTGTTGGATAGTCTTTGATATTCTTACTTTATCGAATCTTTTCCTTCTTTGTCTCTTTCTCTCTTTCTCTCTCTCTCTCTCTCTCTCTCTCTCTCTCTCTCTCTCTATCTATCTATCTATCTATCTATCTCTTTCTCCCTTCAGAGGGTTAGATAGTATTTCGATCGCGTATTGTTATTTAGAAAGCACACACAGAGTGGTCTCGATGCCCTCGGGATAAACATGCTCGGAAATCTCATAATGGCGGTTTCGAAAAGTCGCTTCCCTCTTTTATTTTTCTTTTTTCTCTCTTTATCTCTCTCCCTCTCACACACACACACTTCTCTTCTTTTTCCCTCGACTTCTTTTTATTTTCTTTTATTTTTTCCTTCGCTTCCGCGAACGATCCGGTAATGGCTCCTTCATTGTCCTGGTCTTCTTCTGGCATCAAAGATGCGCACTTCCGTTTCTCTTTCTCTCTTTATTTTTCTCTCTCTCTCTTTCTTTCTTTTTCTCTTTCTTGCATCGCGACTACGCGATGCTGCAACCGTCAACGAACGCCGTCTGTCCAGACGTCGTGACAAATATCGTAAACGAACGCGGACGAGCTCGTATTCTACACTTGCGTAAACACATATCTATGACGAAGCATTTGCGTCAAGAGAACGAATATTGTTCATCTCCATTCTTATTTTTATTTATTGTTTTATTTATTTATTAACGTTACACCTTTTTTCCCTTTTCCGTAGAATATTGAATCTTCGTAATAGGAATGAACACATTTTTTAGCTCTCTTCTATCTCTGTCTCTCTTATTTCTTTTATTCTTATTTTTTGGTTCTCGAAATGGAAATGTTTTTAGGATAGGAATCAAATTATTTTTCATCTCTGTTTTTTTTCTTTCAAAATTAAATCCTTCAGACAGAGATCAAAATGTGTACCTATAATCTGATTAAGAAATTATTTTAAAAGAACAAAATATATAATACTAAAAATAAGAGCGTATTTCGAACGTTCCAATAGACGTCGATCAATGCAATTATTTATTTAAAAAAAGAACATTTCTAAACACCGTCCTCATTCGATCTTACTCGACGACGATCAATCGAATCGACGTATGCAATAATTCCACTTGTTTCGATAATAACTCAAAGACTGCACTTTACCGCTTCGTAATGCTTGCAATTACTTCGAAACACGATTGCGACATTGTCTCCGTTCTTTTACGAAACAGATGCGAGGCATGAAAAGGGAAGCATGTTTTAATGGAATTAAACTCTGGCAATATTTGCAGCTCGTTGATGGCAATCATTTTGAATAAAAAAGAAAAAAAAGGATAGGAAGATTTTCCTCATTATTTTTTTCTTTTCTTTAGATTTGCCAACGCAAATAGCAATAATTAAAAATTACGTGAGATGAAAACGGTCGCATTGAAAAGAAATAAAAAGCAAGATAATATAGTTAGTAATTCATTTTCCAACGAATTCGATTTTATTCGAAAAAAAAAAAAGTATAAAAGCTTTATTGAGAAAATTGAAATAAAAGAAAGGAAATGTTAACCAGGGAACCACACGGAGGAGCTAGGTTATATGAGAATAATCCTCTCGTAGTCGATCGTTTTCGTTCATTCACGATTTCACCCTTCCTGCGGCACGTTGTACGGCTGCATATTATTCGCGGAACAGCCGAAGAAAATTATTAATTCCGGCAATGGGCGATAGGGGGAACTTTTAAGGCTGGAATTTATCCCCAAACCGCCCACGCGAACTTCCACAGGCAAAAGGGTGATCGGTAATCCACGATTTATTGGTCGTAGCCTTCCACCTTCGTTTCTCTCTTTCCTTCCACTTTATTTTCATTCTCTCTTTCTCTCTCATTCTTTCTTTCTCGTTCTGTTTCGCGAGAAATTCACTCTCGTCTTCTTTCCTACCTTCCCTCCTCCCTCTTCTCTTCCTCATCTTCTTTCTTCTTCATTTGAAGTAGGAGGGAATACGCAGTGCAAACGGTGCCACGCGTGTGAAGAGATGAGCGTGGGTGGTTGGGATAAATTATCGGCTTAAGTTGAAATTTCTGAGATGTTCTTTCTGCTCCCGGGGACTTAACCCTCTCTCACCTTACCAAAGAAATACACACACATAAGTACGCACGCACGCACGCACACGAGCATAGACTTTCTACTTCACGTACTACTTATTTCCCATTCTAACGAAAGCAAAGCGTAGCTTCGAATCAACGATAATTGCCGTAGTTTAGCATTTTATCGCGTCTTAAGCCATATTTGTTGTTCCCTGTATCGAGCAAGTCTATACGGAAGACGATACTACCTAACTTTGTATATACATTAGCATCTAAATCTAAAATTTACTTCAAAGGGACAAGAAGATCTGCTCGTACCGTACTACAGAGTTCACTATAAAACGCAACCTAATGATGATAGTACAATAAATGTAAATGAAATATGTTCCTCGTTCCGATGATAATGCTCTTAAAAATTTTATTATTTAATGTGTTTTTTTTTTCTCTTCTATTTAATATCGAGCGACAGTGGTGGTCCTTTCAAATTTATTTAATTATTTTAATTAACTGTTAATATAATTATTATTTATCAGTAAGGTATAAAATTAAAAAAACAATTTCATATTTTGTGAACTATCGTAAGTTTACACTTGATAGTAATTTTTACAACAAATTGATTTAATACCATTTCGTATATTTGAATGTTTCATTAAAAAAGAACAGAAACTCGTAAATCTTTCTAAGAAAGTTAAGTTCGACGTGAAAGTAGGAAGTTCTTACGTTCCCAGGTTTCTGTACAACTTCGTACACCGGACACTCGCACGGAACTTGAGACAATTCGATAAATAACGCATTCGTTGGGACATGTTTATGCGTTCGCGTGGCTACCACCAATGAATCGTGGCACGACTCCGGAACGAGTCGCGCACAAATAGGGCCCTTACGCGCCGAAGGGAATTATTCGACGATTTATTCCCCTTACCCTTTCTACGCTTACTTCTTTCTCTTTCTCTTTTACGGGACCCTTCTTCGACTTACTCACTTGTACCACCATCAACATTACCATCACCATCACCACTACCAACACCAACTTCGGCCCTTCTTGATATCATTAAGGAAAGCATGATGAGTGGTGCTTTGTCGCGTAAATTATAATTCCCTCCTTGGCAGATTTATATTATCCCCATCGGTTCTCCTTTTATACCAACTTCTTCTTTCTAATTAATTATTCTTCCATTTATTTCATTCATTTCATTATTCCTCAATCAACAATATTGTAATTTAATGAATCCGAAATATGTTTAAAAGATTCGTGCAAAAATTAAGCAGTCGGGTTGACCGGGCCAGGACTCGAATCCGAATCTTCTGGACGGGCTGCTCTAAACTGTGAGAAGTTTAAAGCTCTTTGCTCAACTTCTGATCTTTTTTATCTTTTTTTTATTTAAAATAGTAAAATACTCGAATCCAAAACTATTTTTGTTTAACATGCTGAAAATGAGTATCGATATTTTATTACTTTTTCTTATTTCTATCATATTCTTTCTAAGCAAAATTTGTCGAGATACGTAAATTGTATTTTACGAAAATGATGTTGTTAAACTTTTGTATTAATTTCTAACTTGTTAAAAAAGATATTTAACAAACGGATAGATTACAAAGTATCCAATGCTTTGAAAATTACGTAATCGAGCAATAAAAAAGGTACTGACCGAGAAGGATAGAAGGTGTAAAGAATGAAAACAATAGTAGAATACCAAGAGAATGTCAAACAAATCTGTGCAAAGTAAAAAGGGATCGTCGAAGCGTATTACATCCTCGATTCATCGAACATCTGTTCGTTCTAATCCCCCGGGGTAAACGAGACTCGAAAAAGATAAGCCGAATCGATCAAGATCGATGAAATTTACTCGACACTTTGAGGTTTTGTGTATTTGAAAAGAAATAAGAATTCTTTCAACGTGTTTTTCTTCGATCATATTATTTATTTTTCCTTCGATTCATCATGATTATCGTGACTATGAAAGATTAGAAAAATATATTGTTCTTTATTCGAATAATTTGCAAATATTTTAGAGCAGTATGCGAATGAAAGATCATTTGAACGATCATTCTCATTGATTTTGTATAACTTATATAATAATTAATATATATATATTCGATAATAAAAATAAAACTCTATTGTTTTAGGTATGGCAGGTAGTATGGGACAAGCTGGAATGACACCGTACTATAGTCCAGCAGCAGCATACGGTACGCTTTCTGCAGCAAGTATGGCTGCTGCAGCCGCAGCGGCTGCTCAACAAAATGCTATTACTGGACTTGGTCCACCTGGACAGGTATGTTATTTACCTGTCCATTCTTATCTCTAGGTTTTGAATAATATTAGAGCAGAGCATTGTTCAATACATATCGACGTAACAAAAACAGATTAAATGAAAGAATTGGACGGTGGTCATTGGATAGATCAATGAATAAAAGAACACTCGCCTAAAAAGCGAAAAATCCGTGTTTCAAGCTCAGTCTGGCGGCTTAATTTTTTTTATGAATCTTACAATTAGAAGCACGTCTAGGATGAAGGCTTGCTTCATATTACGCTTCTACGATCGTGCAATAACAAGAGAAAAATAATTAATTTAAGATCTATCAAAAAGAGGTTAGGCGATAGTAGCGACGTTGAACGGTTGGCTAGGAAACTAAACAAGAGGCCTTGAAGCGCCCAGCAGAGAGAGCTCGGCAGGAAAAAGACAGAGTCTACGTTAACAAAACGTATTCTGAGAACTACAGAAATGAAGACGCTACGAGCTATAATAGGGAACTTACTAAAAAACAGAAGAAGAAACAAAGAGATTAGAAAAGAATGTAAAACCCAAGACGACAAGTCCAAAATGGACGACAGTAAGCTGCCGAAAGTGGCAAAAACAGGAAAAATAGGGACAACGAGACCACCTGGAAGATCTTTAAAACGGTGGCATGAAAGCTGGACATCTTCGTCGCAGAAACAATAAACGCCCAGAAAAGAACTATGAACCTAAAATATAAAATGTCGAAGTCTTAATAAAAAGAAGAAGAGAAGAACAAAATTTATAGGGAGAAGATAGATTCGGGGAAGGATTATTAACCCTTTCGCTACGGACGGGTTCTCCGCTGCGATACTTCCGCTGAACGGAGTGCTGCGACATAATTGCATGCGACGCAGATCGTCAGCAACATATATATACAAGGAGGACGATCGAGATAAGCGTTTTCGTCGAATTTGTGTTGTTGAAAATGACTAAATATCGAGTACGATAATTATCCACGAGGGCGGGGATTCAGATTTTAGTACCTGTGTGTTGTTTTTTTTGTGTGTGTTGTTTTTTTTGTGTGTGTTGTGTGTGGTACAATTATAATTGAGCCGTTTATTTTGAAAGTGGCATAAGTCACTTTTTTTTCTTTTTTTTTTTTTCTATTGAAAATGAAAAGATACCGTTCAGTTGTAATTAGTGTTGCCATTAACTCGGTTTTTTTGAAAAAGTGACTTATGACACTTTCAAAATAAACGGCTCAATTATATATTTGAAAAATCAAACCATTCGAATCGACGCGCTCTGTAGTGGCATTAGAAATCATTCTTTCATTGTGAATATTATAGCCACATTTATTACAATGCGATATTGTATAGGCGAATATGGTCGGAAATGGTTTGTTGAGTTGAACTTAGCTTCTCTGCAATATCTGAAGTTGTAAAAAATGGATTTTGCTCTATCATAGCCTTGATAATGTCGTCATCGATCAATGACGGCCGTCCTGAACGTGGCTTCTCATTAAGGTCAAAATCACCTGCTTCGAATTTTTAAATCAATTTTTGTACGTTCTATCTGAAACTGCATATAAACCAAAAACTTATACTAAATTACTATCGTATTTCTAAATGTTTATTACTATGTTTTGATATGAGTTGCGTCTTAGCATTCGAAGTGTACGGACGTTCAGAGTGTTGATCCGCGTGTTTATAACTTTATTGTTTACATTGTACGTATAACGAATAAA